TAGAGCTGCACAAAACATTTAAGTGTGATATATTTATTCAAGTTAAAGTGTAAATTTACTCATAAAACATTTCTCCATATGAAAGTTTTGGAAAAACTCATAATCTGTTCTACGCCATACATAGAAGTGATATCTAGTTATTGTCATTGCAATGTTTTTTAAGATTACTATTTATTTTTATAATTACAACACTTTTTTATTACAAGAAGAATATATAATTGATAATTTATTATTTTAAAGCTCTTTCATAATTTTGAAGTATATTACAACGAATGTTTCTTAGAAGAGTCTTGTTGCTCTCATAAATGGAAAAGTCATGGGAGTGAATGGTACCGTCATACAAAAAAAAAAAAAAGGTTCAATCAAATCAATCAAGCGTTTTTTTTTTTTTGGTGACCTGGCCCAAAACCTTATTGGTTTGTTTATTAAAATTATTTTTTGAACTGATTTTATTTTTACCATTAAATTAAAATTCATTTATATGGTTTATTGGCATGAATGCTTTCCTATAATCCAATAAATGGGACTTTAGCTCCGTAAACCACCTCCTAAATGGTCATTTCTTTAATGTTTTATAGAAGAATAATTAAAAAAAAGGCTGAAAATTACTAAATTCTAAATAAAGTTTGATAACAACACTTCATTTAGTATTGATAATATTAAATTTGTAAATGATAACAAATTTTTATTAATATTCTCTATTTGACATTTACATATTTTTAGCTCCTTTTTTTGGTCATTTTCTCAAGTTTCATTTGGTTGCATCATTAAATTCTTGTATTTTTTTTTAGGAAAATACAATTTCTCCCATAAAAAAGCACAGAGAAGAAAATTATTTACAACATATTTTGTTTTAAAAATTTGGCCTTTCACGTCTAACTGTATTTGCAAGTTATCTGTTCTGAGGTTGGATTCCCCAAATACATAAACATGACTGGTCTTTTTGACATGAAAAACCAGTTGGCGCTTGGCAGGAATGACAGCTCCAATTGTTCATCAATGAAACCCCATTTCCGTGAGCCCCCACCTATATATATCAGAACCACATAAAACTTCTCAAACTAGGAAACCAAAGACACAGAGTCTATTAATATTCAACTTACCAAATTTACTAGTAACGTTAAGTCAAATTCTGCAGAAAACTTTCCAGATAGTAAAAGATATTGTACAGAGACTGAATTCTGATATGTTCAATCACTGTAAGATCATTTCTTCTTCTTCTTCTTTTTCTTGCTAATTTAATCAACATCTCTGGACTCTTCATTTCAAGCCTCGATGGTATTTGAATCCCTTATGCATTAACTGCTGAATAGAGCTGAAAATGGAGACTGGACAACGATCTAAGTCAGTGTGCAAAGCCCTACTGATTGGGATATGTCACAGGTAAAGACAGCCCCACATGCCTATGTTCATTCACAACCTCAATATATTCATGATTTTACACATTTAAATCAAAATGTAACTCTTTTTACACATTATCTAAACAAGAGAGAGAAAGAAACAGAAAGGAAGTAAAATTCATCTTGTCTTCTTTCTTTTGTTTTTTTTTTGTTTTTAATTCCATTGTATTCGAATTCTATTTGAGAAATTTAGGCTGTGATTAGTATAATAAATGACCCAATCAAAGCCATCTTTTGACCATTCGAAGTTCTTGAGGAGGACTTGACTGCATCTCCCTGTTTCCCAACCACCAACCTGCTAGAAAGTGACCTCTCAGTGTGTAAAGTGTGTACTGCAATTAGCAATTTTGAGTCTTTGCTCTTTTATTTCTCAGTTTGGGGCTCATTCAATTATGGTCATTTCCATGTACCTTGCGGCTTTCCCACAGTGGGATTGCCACAGACAGCTTTCATCTTTCTGGTTACAAAAAATATTAAATGGTTTTAGGACAGTTGTTTAGATTTTTTTTTTTTTTAAAAGAACAGCTCTGCAGTCTAGGAGGCAGCCTACTACAATAAATTAAATTAAATTTTTTCACCAAAAAAATAGTATCATCACATTATGTAATCATAATCATAATCATAATCCTGTTGAATTTTGCGTGAAAATATTTGTGGGAATCAATATAAATGACCACTGCTCTCAATAATAGATTTTAAACAGAGAAAGGAAAAAGAGAATGTTAGTTGAAAGGGCAATAAAGAAGATTCAGTTTCTTGGCCAAAAAGAGTTTTAGTTTCTGACCCAAAACGAAAAACAAAGAACCTAACAGTTTGTCGTGATTTCTTTTTTAAATATCTCAATGCAGGGCGAGACAATTGACATGTGAAATGAGGTGCTAAGAAGTGCTAGAAACAGTAAAAGGAAGCTCAGTTTCAGAGGGACCAGATGTGAAACCAATATATATTTTATAAATTTTTCACTTTAACCTCAAATCTATATCTTCATTCTTCATCTTGTGTTAAGTAAGCACCAAATAAAGAGCAACAGGATTGAGAGAGAGAAGCTCAGCCTCCTGAAGAAACCTAAACATCTTTTGTTCTTTCCCGGTTTCCCTCATATCCCTTGTATAGGTTGCTTGTTCTCTGATCTCTTGTGGCATCTTAGGTCAATCTCATCGAACAGTGGTGATGGTTAGTGTCATCAAGTGAGTGAGATTCACTGAGCCTGAGCCTCAGATCTACTCTGTCTATTTTCTCTCTCACACCCTTTTGCATCATCAAGTTGGTAAACATTCATTCTTAACATCATTTTGAGGTCTCAACAGTCACCAATGACCATGAAGAGAAGAACGTGTTCCTTCATTCTCACGGCTGCTCTTCTTCTATTTACAACTTTGGCTTCACGAGTGAACAAGAAGCCTCTGTCGCCTTATGGAGCTGCCACTTCACAAGGTCAGTGCAAAACTTACCACACCATCAATACACATTACCACTGAGTCGGTCATTTTCACAAACACTGGTCCTGCACTGTGAGTGTCTTCACTCTAATTAGTAACTCACCAGTCTCTTTTTTCACTGTCCTTTTCACTTTTTGCAATCACCGACAACATCATATCCTCAAACATTCTATCGATTTTCCACAGTTGATCAGACAACAACAACAAAATTCGTCCCACATCCGGGTTTTGACTCCACAAAGGTACCTATCAGTCTCTATGTATGACTAACAATATTTCATTATTTCCTGTCCGGTAACATTGTTTGACGCATGAAATTTCTGCTTTTTACGAAGGGAAACGAAGGAATGGCAAATGGGTATGCAGAAATAGGAAGAGGACTGAGCCGGTTAGGATCAATACCGCCGAGGTGTGAGCACAAGTGTAGGGGTTGTGTGCCTTGTGATCCAATTCAAATCCCTACAACCACAGTTGGGGTTCAATATACAAATTACGAGCCAGAAGGTTGGAAATGCAAGTGTGGCACTTCTTATTATAATCCATGAAATGTTGTTGTTGGTGAAGAGGTCCTGTTAGATTTATATGATATTGTGGTGTATAGATCTACATACAAGTATATCGTCTAACCGCCATTAAAATGTTCCTTGGCCTTGATGCTGTATATTCTTCTATGCGCAACGCGGAGAGGAAACTGGAAAGATCAGTGGAGAGCAAATTTTCCACATTTTGTTATGACGTTTTTATGCAAGCAAATAGTTTTCCCCTTTTGCCCTTTTCTTCTCAATATTTTGGTATGATTATTAAATTAGACGAGGAAAACTAAACAAATCAACCTGTTTGCATTAATTATAATTATAATTTATAAATATATGGATGTGTTCATTCCTAACTCCGTCTAAGATTTTTTAGGAATTTCATTAATTTTTTCGGTTGGTACAACAAGTTAGATATTTATTAGAACATTTAGAATCAATTATATGAATTTTGAATAAATCAATAACATGAAAAATGTTTTGATCTAAAGTCTAAACATTTAATTACATTTTAAGTAGACATTTTTTTAGAAGTTATGATTTATTCTCAAGAATGTGGTATCAAGCTGAACCAAATTAATCAAGTCAACTTTGTGGGGCTAATTTTCTATGCATGCTCAATTTTTATTTTAATTAAACGCAACTCAACGTTTTGGCACCCACCAAAAAAAGTCAACCTAATTTGATGTGATCGTATCTCATAAGTGACAATGGAATTAGGCCGGCGGCCAGGCACGTTACGACTAATTAATCAAACAATATATATATACACTTTTCTGTTTTTAAATATAAAATCTTTTAGTGTAAATATATATATACTCCTCCAGTCTTAAATATAAGACCATTTTCGTAGTGTAAGACCCTTTTCGTAGTGTAATTTACATTACGAAAAGGGTCTTATATTTGGGACTGGAGGAGTATATATATATCACTCTCTATCTCATATGGTTATTTTTCAAAATTTCACATGCAAGGGAAAATATATGAAGTTTATTACAAAAAATAAGATGACATTATCTTACACAGTTTATCAGTTTGATCTGAAATTTAATGTTCTGAATGATCCCTAAACCTTTGGACTTCCAAATAACGTTGGTTGTCTGCAGGTGGGTCTGAATCACCCCAGTGTAAGCTGATCTAAATTAAACTCATAATTCCCTAAACTCTTACTTTATATCAAGCTCTAATCTTATGAAAATATTCATCTTTCTAATCCTAATGGCTCAAATTTACTTCAGAACCCAAAAGCATGGTCTGCTTTGATTTGATCTTGTCACATCAAGGTTTTTTTCCAAACCCCACAGGCTTTAGATAATCATAAATTTTGTAAATAATACTAACTATAAGTAATGTTGATTAATTATGATTTCTATTTAGATATGTTTTTTTATAAGTGACTTTATCAATTGTGATTATGTTTAGTTTTTACCTATTAAAATCACTTATCAATGTATAATTACCCAAAAAAATGAATTTAATAAACATCAAATATAATCCTTTGGGAAGAGATTTTTGAAACTGTGGAAGGATAAATTAGAGAAATTCAGTTGATAAAAATTGATTAGAATTATTCAAACACACCAGTGACTCTTTGATGCTTATCCTAGAAATGTGATGAAAGAATAAAATTACAATTTAACAGGATTTTATAAAAATTAAATATATTTTATAATCATTTATTTACATTCAAACGAACTTATTTGATAACCAAACAGGCACCTAACATTGTCCTAAAAAAAATCATCGCACGACAAAGGATAACAAGGGAAACTACACTCTTCTTCAAACTGTCACTTCATGGATCTTACCCTCTTTGTTCCTCTATGTACACAAGCTTCTCAACTGAAAAGAAACGCGAATAGTTGCACAGGAATTCAAAATTTCCACATTCATCGAGTATGAAAGTTACAAAGAACCTAGACAAAGTTTGTCACCTCAACGAGCACGCTTTGTCACAAGAATGAAACAGGACTCAGATCCCTCATTATGATGAATCAAACATTTCACAAAAAGAAAAATAAAGAACTGTAGCAGAAACCATTAAGTTCAGCACAATCAAAAGAGGATGGAAAGAAATATGAAGTGACAAGGGTTGATTAATATTACTTCATAAACATGTCACCTATAATTGTTACAACAGTGAACACAAGAGACACGATTTATCCAATGAAAAGCTTGAAGAAAGGTAAAATGGGGCATAAAGGACTTATACATAACGGAGAGAAATGCAGCTGAACATGTTATCAGGAAAATTATCTGGGTAATAACATTCAGCTGATAACATTTATACTTGGTTTGCAGGGACAAATTGATTGGTATAAGAGTTGATTGTTGACTGTTTCGCAAAAGAATGCATGCAGAGGGTCTAGATCAGTGGGGGATTTTGAATGGCAAAGCAGTGAAGTGTCATATATGTATCCACCAAAACACTGGCCCTTTAAGGGTGGCCAGATGAATGGAGACTATATACGCATTTCGAAACAAGTTTGAGATGGTTCTATTAAGCAAGCACAAATAAGCACTTGCCATTATAATAGCCTTTAGCCAAAAGCAATAATCCTATGATTTATCATTTTCCATGGACAGTAGAACTTATCTATTGGTTCACGCCTTAGTCAACAATTCATGGCTGAAATATGAAAGGCCAAAAACTTGGCTGGCAAGCTTGTTACTGAGAATAGGGAAGCCTAAGGGATGCATATTAATAAACCTGAAACTATTTGTTAAGGGTAAAAAATACTCTGAAAAACTGTATTGAGACCCTGCACAGTATTCAACCACTTCCAAATTCACTGACTAAAAATGCAATAGCAAGTTACTCTTTGTATCTTAGTAGTGACTTATTTTCTAGCAAAAGGCCCTGAACCTCCAGAAAATACCTCATCTAACAACAGCATATCTTCGTTTCCCAGCCACAACATTACTGTGCATAAAAGTGAAAAAAGAGAATCTCACAAAAAGAAGCTTAATTACTAAATCTCAAATAAAGAATTCCTACAAAAATGAGCTGAGTATTGTCAAATCCCATTAAAGTGTGAATCTGATTTGGGATTTAGTAATTTCAATCTTCTTTTGAGAATTCTCCCAAGTAAAATGCCATAGAAGACCTTAATAGGAGGATTACAAGGTCCATATTATCTTGAGTCACATTGGTTAATGTAGTTACATAATCAACATTTATGGATAACAACGAAAGCATTGGTCTCAATAAAACAATTGGACACATTTCTCTAGGCAATGCAGCAAAGCTTCAAGTCTAAGGCAAGAGCCAGAGTTCATGATTTGCAAATAATGCGAAATAGATTTTATTAATATATAGATTGATTGATAATGAACTAATGTGAGAGGAAATTGGCCTCCACAAAATACCGTCACACAGCCATGCCTTACGGGGCAATCAAGATGATTACCCTCTTAATACAATCCAAGGTGAACACTTAAAATTCATAATTTATCAACTGCATTACATTACATATTTGTACTTGAAGACTCGGAAATAACTGTGATCAGTAGATAAACAAAGATATAATATAGCCAATTGCCGGATTCATACTTATTTCAAAGATCAAAACACCACCTGGGATCCTCAGAGTTAGCAAGCACTACCATCCATACACATACCTTAACTGTAGATTGAGCACCTGAAGATCTGTCTTATCAACATTACCTCTATAACTAGCTACACTCTAATTTTTATCTCACATTACTCACTATCATACCTTCAACAAATACCCTTACACTCTAGTGTACCTGTCCTTGAGCCACTTGAAGCTCTTCCTGAAAGACCCTTTCAACCTTCACATATACACTTGTAACTAGCGACCCTCTTTTTCCTCTGCAACTCTGGATCACTGAAGCTCCAGCTCTTCGAAGAGGAACTGTTAGTGGACTTGCCTTTCTTGAACTTCACATCGTTGAACCAATCTGATTTTGGGTGGTCGGAGGAGGAACAGAGGATGCATATGAAGCGCTGTAGCACCGGAGGTCTTGCATGCCATGGACGCCGCAGGCGGAAGCGGTCCCGCTCCTGCTGTAGCTCTCAATTTGCATCCTCCCATCAGCGTACGATTTGGATCTAAAATCTTCCATGGAGAACCCCAAAATTCAAAACCCTCCGGCCTAAGGAGGGGCAAGATTCTACCTTTTGCAAATGGGGTTCCGTGAAAGCAGCTTCAACTTCGCTTTGTTTGGTATGAAGTTATTTCGGATGAGAAAATTTTATTCAACTTTGACTTTCAGGAGGGCGCTTTCTGGAAAGGTTTTGCCTTTCGCGTCGGTCATGTTCCTCACAGAGAGAAGAGTACTTTGTCGTCTAGTTAATTGTTTATCTCTACTCTCCTATTTTATTTCATAAAAAATACTAATTTTAAAATGTTAATATTCAATTTCATTTTGAATTTTATATTTAAAATTATATATGTGGGATTAAAATTGATCAAGCATCTTCAAATATTTTGTTAGATGTCCTAGCATCTTAATTTTTGTATTAAAAAAATGATGAGAGTAAGGAAAGGAGAAAGGAGAATTGCAATAATAATCTGAGTAATATATAATAACAAGTTTTAGAATATATTTTAATTTAATTGCTTTCTTATTATTAAAAATTTTTAATAATTATTTTTTCAGAATCTGACGGTAATTTTTCCTTCAGAAAACTGATGACGAAGGTTTTCAACTTGTTTTTGGATGGTACAGCTGGACCTGTTTTGACTTTTGAGGCTTCTCATGGTTAATGGATGAGGTGGCGTGTTTTAATGGTGACTGATGAGGGGGTGCCCAGGAAGGAAGCTGTGGGATGTGAGTGGTCATGCTAAGGGTCAGATTGAATCTATTTGGATCTTTGGGCAATGTTTCTCGTTCTCTACTTTCGGGCAGCAAAGGGGGTTGTGTCTGTGGGATTGGATAGTTGCAAAAGGCTTGCTCATCCGGTTCTTCTCCTACTGCTATAGATTGAAAAAGAGACTAAGGGTGTTTGGATAGAAACCAAATCATGGTTTCAGAAGTGTTTTTACGGATTACGAAGTAAATATGTGGAGGAATTACCTCATTTTACGGAAAGTGCTTCTGAAACCATGGTTTTGGGTTTCTCAACACCCCCTAACAGTCGGAAACAGACCGTAATTGGGTTCAGTAATTAGTGAAAAAGGTTTATTTTTTACAACATGGGGAATCAAAGTTTAAATTCTCATTGGAAGAGATTCACATACTTTTTTTTTTTGGACCAGAGAAATTCACATGCTTAGTACTTGATAGTATTTCGAATAAAATTACCTCTGAATAAAAGATGTTACGTGTATAAAAAGAGAAAACACAGATACTGAAGGCTCGCGTCATCCGGTTTATGTTATCTTGCCTTTGGTTCTTACTGTTTAGTAATCATTTCTCTTTTCTTCTGTACATTCTGGGTTTTTCGTTTGATACTGTTTCAGTCATGAATGAATTTTATCGGGAAATCTTGAATTTAAGGGGTGAGTTTATTCGGCTACAATTTAAAAGAAGGCCATTATATAAGAGATACTTAATACAGGATGTGGATTTATTTAATTTCTTAATTACCCACATGATAAAGAAAAGGGAAACATGAATGAGCCTTGCTTTGGATCTTTATTAAATACGAACCCCTTTTATCACTCTGTATACTTGAGTGAGCAATTGAGATTGAAAGGACCCTGATCTCTATGCACACTTTATGATTTTATTGTTCCTGTCAATCTCGTTAGGGAACCACCTAGTTGAGTCAGAGATTTGATATCTTTCACATAGGATTTTGAATTTGAATAATATAAATAAAAAAAAGTCATGCTTGAAGAAATTTTTTCCCCGACGTAATGAATTCCACTCTTTACATTTGAAAAAATAGTAAAATACTGTTAAAATAAAAAGACTAAAACGATAAAACGCTTTAAATTGGCAATTGCGATGTATTCCAATCGGGCTTTTTAGGTTCAAAAAACAAAAATCCAAGATTGAACTCACTGGTATAACTCGACTTTTCCCGTGGTTAAACGTTACTAAAATGAATTTGCCCAGCATTTTGCATGATTCATATTTGTAAATAAGGTGAAAATTATTTTCCCGCAACATGCAGATGCAGTAATACATAAACTGTCCTATAACATGTCACCGTTATTTACAAATGGTGATGAATGAAAACCCCTGGCACAGCCACTTTAGTTCTTTTTACCTTCAAAAGTGCATGCGTGCATATATAAGCAGAAGTGTCAAAGCAACCTGAGTTCAGAAGAAATGCTGCGGAGATCAAAAGATGAGATAACTCCAAAGAAGCTTCAAATTACATAGAGCCCAGAGCAATGATATATTGAAAATAGAGAACAAAAGAGGGCCACAGATCTAAAATTATTGCTCTTTGAAGTGGAAAACTCATCATTAACATGCATGGAATACTAAGCTTAGTCAATTCCCTTGTTCCGGTTCAACAGGTCATGGTAATATAACAGTACGCACATAGGTTGACCAAGAATACTAAATATGAACCAGAAAACCATATTTCCAACCTGCAATGAAGAAAACGATAACAATGAATAAAGTTGACAATAATTAAATCACAGATATGTGTGCCTATGATATGAACCAAAATGACTATAATAGGAATCATGAACATACCATAGAGTTTGTAAACTTATTTTGCAGATAATTGGTGATCATGACTAAAGGAACCTAAACAGGCAGAAACACAAATACAAGTGTCAAGAGAAACTAAAACACTGATGGTATCATAACCAATAAAAAACATACTACATCTGGTCCCAAATATAAAATCCACTTTGGTTTTTATTTAGGACCAGAGGTAGTATAATAATCTAGCAAAGATTCAATAGTAGGGAAAACAAAGCTTCTTTGGTTTGGGCAATGGAAGAAAAGAGATTGAAATGGCTTCATCTTTTCCTGTCAAGAGTAAGTAGTTGTGTTTGGGGGAAAGGGGGTAGAAGGAAAAAAATTACATTATGCTTCTTTACCTGAAACATGATTCCAATAAAAGCCCACAACTTAAATATGTGGCAGGGAACGGCAATGCATAGCTGCACCTCGGATGAAACGGTAATCATGAGCATAATCAATAGCTTTCTTTAAAAACAAAATAGTTAGTAATGCTTGGATAAATGTTTCATTTGGGAGGAAGGGGAACTAGAGTTCATAATAGAATTAAGTAAAACATGAATAGGAAATAGACTCAACCATCCGGTAATAAGTGATTGTTGATGAAAACCAAGTGTGGTTTGGCTTCAGTATTATGACTTTGTCCTTCTATCACTGCCATGACATAAAATCTGCCATCCCTCTTTTTCTATTTTTCAAATTGGTTTTTGTCTTTTCCATAAACCTTTTCTACCTAGAGTCTTTAATCCTCCAGCCAAATACAACATGAAAACAAAAAACGGCAGAAAATAAAGAAATTGAAAGAAGAAAGTAGGATAATAAAATATGTCAGCAGCTTTATCATCTGCACGATCCTAGTTACATGCCATAAGGCACAGGAGTTGTTGGTGTTGCTAGATAAAGTTGTGAGGTATGGACTGATAAAAAAATAATTAATAAGTAGTGTCGAGTGGTAATTTCTAACCAATGAATCATAACTTTGTCTCTAATTCTGATCCTCTTCCCATCACCCGACCAGGGTAACGGATTTTTTTTTTGGGGGGGGGGGGGTGTGAATAGTAAAGTGGTAAAGCAATGCAAGCTCTTGCCAGCTCTTGACATTGCATCGGGCAGACAAGCAGAATAGCCTCTCAACATACGGTCAAAAG